GGGCGCCTGGGGGTCAGAGAGACAGGGTGAGGAGCTCAAAAAATACCCACAGAATCACTTTCTGTAGGAGACTGCTGAGGAGGCGGGGCCAGTAGGGGGCTTGTTCCATGCTGAGTAATCAGTAGAGAGCTGACACAGCATTGATGCGAGGACACTATATTTATTAAGGTGAAAAATAAAAGGGTTAGGAAGCAATCAGACTTGAAATTTGTCTAAAAGAGAATATGGGAGCATTGCTTATTAAAGCTGAAATGGGAAAGGTCTTTCCAACTCTGACTTAAAATCCAGAAGCCATTAAAAAAAAAAGGGTGAGCCCGGCTGGCGTGGCTCAGTGGTTGAGCATTGACCTAGGATCCAGGAGATTGCGATTCGATTCCCGGTCAGGGCACATGCCCAGGTTGTGGGCTCCATCCCCAGTCGTGGGGCGTGCAGGAGGCAGCCGATAAATGACGACTCCCTCATCGTTGATGTTTCTCTCTCTCTCCTTCTCCCTTCCTCTCTCTGAAATCAATAAAGACATTAAAAAAATAAAATAATAGTGGATTGAAAAAAAAAGTTGAGTTCATCATAGCATGATAAGCAGAGTCAAAATGTAACAAACTGGGGAAAATACTTGAAATTTATTATCAGTCAAAAGGCTTATTACCTAATTTATAAAGAACTCCTAGATAGTAAAGAGGAGGAAAATACCCAACAGAAAAAAGAGCACAGGATGCAAACAGAAATTTTGCAGATGAGGAAATATATGTGGTTCCGAAGCGTATGAAAAGACACCCACATTCAATATAAAATGCACAAATTAAAATTACTCAGAAATAACATTTTTCAGATTGGCAAGAATCTAGAAGTTATGTAACATACTTTATTGGCACACGTGGGGAAACAGGTCTCCTACATTGCTGTGTGAGCGCACATTGGTGCAGTGGAGCAATTTAGCTATCAAGGTCAGGATTACAAGCCCATATATCCTTTAAGGCGCTTACCCTGTTTTTTGAGAATTTATCCTGAGGATATATTAGCATATGCTGGAAATGACATATTTATGAGCTAATTCATTTCTACATTGCTTGTAGCAGTAAAAGAACAGAAACAAATCAACATCCAGGACTGGTGAAATGATTGAAGCTACATCTGTACAATGAAATACTGTGCAGCTATTTACAAAAAAGAATGTTTTCTATTTACTGATATGGAAGGATCTCTAAGATAGTTAATGTACAGAAAAGGTTAGGTACAGAACAGATTGTAAAATATGTTTTTTTTGTGTAAAAAGGGAAAAAATGTATACACTTGAATTGTTTTATACATGCATAAGGAAACTCTGGATGAGCTCCTAAGAAATAAATAGTGGGCCTCTGGGGAGTGAATGATGGAGTGGAAATTTGGCAGATAGGGGTCTTTCACTCACTTTTTAAATGTTTGAGTCATGTGAATGAATATGTTGTCTTTTCAGAAAATTATATTAATCTAAATAATTAATGGGACCCCATGTTTTTATAGTCCAAACTAGGTATTCTGATTTTTATTTTTTGGATGTGTTCATCTATCCCCTCCCCTTTTTGTTTTTGAGTTATAGAACTCTTTGCTCAAACTCAGTCTTATAGAGAATCCGTTTGTAAAATAGATAAAAATGGATCTAGCTCAGATCCAAGCAGGTGCAGGGCTTGGAGGGGGGCCTTTTGCCCTTCTTTCCTTCTTCCAAGCAGATCCCCCAAATTCTGTAGCTGACCAAGTGAGAGATGAAAAAGGCTGAAAAAAAGATTTCTAAGTTTAATTTGGAGGTTGGCAAACTGGCAACTCAGGCCAAGCCTAATCTGCTGCTTAGTTTTGTAAGTAAAGTTTTATTGGAACATAGCCACTCTCTTCATTTCCATATTGTCTGTGGTTGATTTTGCACTGAAAACAGCAACATTGAGTAATTGTACAGATACACCCTGTATCCTGCAAAACCTAAAACACTGGCCCTTTACACAAAGAATTTTGCCAACCTTTGGTTTAAATCACTTTTTTGGTCATGATAGTTGACTTTCTAGTTAGACTGTTGGTTTCTCCATTTAAATCTCTAGTGTAAAATGGGCTAACATTACTTTCTTTAGAATTTTATGGCATTTAATAGAAGTTCATGGCTTAGGAAGAAAATTGCAGATACTCTCTTTTTCAGATATTTCATATTTCAAATCTTGTTTGAAAATTAGGTTTTTTACTATTTGCATGTGCATTTTTATATTTATACTATAAACAAAATCAGTTCTGACACCGGCATAAACTTGTCAAGTGATTTCAGCTCATTGATTGCAAGAGGAGTAATGATGGCAAAGCAGGCTCGATATTCCTAATAAAAATTTGAGGGTTTATTTTGTTAAAATCACTATTCTCAGGACCTAAATTCTTTAAAACATTTTTATTGAATATGAACTAAAAACACATGAAAAGTGTATCTAGATGTATATCTTGTTGAATTTTCACAAACTGAATACAGCAATGCAGTGAGCCCTTTTCTGTACCCCAGAAGCACAGCTCGTGCTACCACCTAGTCATCACCCACCGCCCCTCTGGCCACCCCTGTTTTGATGGTGAGAGTATAGACTAGTCTCTCCTGTTTTTGTACTGTATATAAATGGGATCATATGTTGGCTTTCAATCAACATTATATTTGTGAGATTCATCTGTATGATGTTTCTGTACATATTTTATTGTATGACTATACCACAAGTTTATCTGTACTAATGAGTATTTGAGTAGTTTTTAGTTTTGGGCTGTTGTAAATAGTGTGGACATGAATGTTCTAAAACAGCTGTAGTAATAAAAGAATAGAAACATCAGATGTCTGGGGCTAGTAAAATGAATAAAGCTTTATCGGTGTGTTGAAATATTGTGTGGTCACATGTAAAATTTAAAATTTAAAATTCCTAGTAGCTACAAGCTAAAAGAAACAGGCAAAATAAATTTCAGTAATACATTTTGTTTAACCCAGTATATCCAAAGTAGTATCATTTCAAAATATAATCAATGCAAAAATTATGAAGGAGGTATTTTCCCTCTCCCCACACTAAATCTTAGTGATCTGATGTGTAATTTCTACTTGCAGCATTTATGTTCTATTTAGTGAGATTTTGGGATGGATTTCAATTTACTGTTAAAGGGGATTTTAAAATATTTTTCCTGGTTTTTAATACTGTATTTCAATGGTCTTTTCAATTGTATCTTTTTTAAAAGAAAAAAATCTTTATTGATTCAGAGAGAGGAAGGGAGAGGGAGAGAGAGATGGGAAACATCAATGATGAGAGAGAGTCATTGATCAGCTGCCTCCTGCATGCCCCCTGCTGGGGGTGGAGCCCGAAACCTGGGCATGTGCCCTGACGGGGAATCGAACCGCAATCTCCTGGATCCTAGGTTGATGCTCAACCTCTGAGCCATGCCTGGCTGGGCTCCATTATATCTTTTATGAATTTATCTTAGTAATAGATTTTGAGGTATCTTTTAACATGAAATATCTCAGTGCCATATTTTTTTGAATATCTTTAGAAAGTGTTAAGAAATTTATAGAATGGTTTGAGTAGGTTAGCTTTCTTACCGGTTGTTTGGGTTTCTATAAACACTGATATAATACAGTGATTAAAATATTACTGAGGTGACTATGAGCAGTTGTAATTTTCTGGTTATTATGTTAGGAGATTCTCATGTAGAGGATGACCTTGTATTAAGAGTGGGCGGTCTTTTAGGACCACTTGCCCAGTTTGGCATGTTCCTGACTTTAATTGTACCTGTGATCTCTGAAAAAGTTTACCTTTTTTCCTGGGCTTCAGAAGTAGAATGAGAACTAACTTCATTTTATTAAATAATAGGGAGAAATGAAGAAAAGAAAAACACTTGGTATTTTATATGTGTAGGGTTTTCTTTTATTGTGTTAATTTCTAACACTTTTGTCTTTAATAAGGGACTTGCAACAAAGCATTGCCAGAGAACCTAGCGCTCCTTCAATTCCTACACCTGCGTATCAGTCCTCTCCAGCAGGGGGACATGCTCCCACTCCTCCAACTCCAGCGCCAAGAACGATTGCGGTCAGTAAGCAAACATTTTTACAGTGGAGTTTATAGTAGTGACAGCTCACTTGTGGTACAGGGTAAAACAGACTTTACATTGGAGAAATCTGGTGGCACCACTTTGATCATGTGACCAACCTGATGTTTTGCAATATGAAGAATTCTTGCAAAAAAAATCTTTAACTTGAATCTAATCAAGTCTTTAGAACCAACTTTCAGTTTATAGCAAATATAGTGATGAAACAAGAAGTTAAATTGTGCCTTTAGGAAACAATTGGAAAAATCTAGAAATGGGACATTTTGCGAGACACCTGGCTTGGTTGTTTCTAAAAGTGAATGTTATAGAAAGAAAAAAAAATAGACACAGGGCATGTTTTAGATTAAAAGAGAGGAAAGATAATAGTGCAATACATGAATCTTGATTGGATCTTGGTTCATAAAAATACCTGTAAGAGCTTTTTTTGGTGATAAATAGGGAAACTTAAATGTGGAGTGCATACGTGATGATACTAGGGAATAAGTTAATTAGGGTGAACTGGTATTGTGATTATGTAGGAGAGTATTAGAACTTACATGTTTCTTATGCTATTCGTTTAAGTGTTCTGGTATTTGAAAACTTACATAAATGTACGGGCCAGGATGAGATTACAGTCATAGACTGTACATGACCTGCTCCTTCCTCCCACCTCAGATGTCTAACCAGTGGTGGGAGCAGTAATGCGCCATAAATGATTAAATATTAGGCATCAGGAAAAGAGCAGTAGCTACAGAGGATCCACAAATTGGAGAATTATTCCTCAACTATGATAATTTCTAGAGTAATAAGCCAGCATTTAAGAATGGGAATTAGAAGTGTATCTGGTTGGATTCTAGAGTTTCTCATATGCCCTCATTTATTTTAATTGATAGTAATTTGAGGGAAACATGAAACATTTTGTAGTTAATGCTGACTTTTTGTTACAGCCTAGTAAGCCTCAGCCCCCAGCCCGGCCTCCACCTCCTGTGCTTCCAGCAAATCGAGCTCCTCCTGCTACTGCTTCAGCTCCAGCAGGGACTGGGATTACTGCACCTGCGCCATCACAGACTCCTGGCTCAGCTCCCCTTCCACAGGCCCAGGGACCCCCCTATCCCACCTATCCAGGATATCCCGGGTAAGGCTGAAATTGTGTTTATCCCAGTGAACTGGCTAATGTTCTAGCTCTGGTTAACCTTTTAAAAACAGGGTTGTCGCTTCTCTGAATGGACGTGCTGTAAGTGAATAAGCTACATTGTCAGCTTGTACAGAAATAAAATAATGCTATAGTCACATTTGAGTAGTTGAATAGCCATTTCCCAAGCATATTTATGACTTTAGGTTTTACATGTTGGGTTTATATTAAATATATCTCTTCTGTATGGAATTCAGAATGTATTTCCTTGATCTTGTTTCTTTAGGTAATAGGTGCCTTTTCTGAGCTTAGCATGACCAGGACTTGATAACAGCCTTTTTTACATTTGCATTTGATAAACTGTTGAGCAGAAATTTATGTAATTATGGAATGTACTTTAAAGATCAGCTTTCTTTGTGATAATTTGTTAATCTTAAAAATTATCAAGACATTTGACTATTTTTAAAGTGTGCTTCAAACTTAGTAAATCCATTCTTTATAAACATAAATTTATGTACATTCCAGTGAACTTGATGTTTTTTCATTTCAGTTCATAACAGGATTAGGAACACTTTTCTCTAACAGGTATCTTACATAGCTGTGGTTTTTCCCTTCTCCACTATTCTCTAATAGACTGAGAAATGAAGATAAACGGCTTTCTTGAAAAAACTGGTTTTAGAATAATTGTAATATGTTTCATTTTTTTCATATTTGATTTATCAATCCAACTCTTTTGTTTTCTTCTTCCCATCAGGTATTGCCAAATGCCCATGCCCATGGGCTACAATCCTTATGCATATGGCCAGTATAATATGCCATATCCAGCAGTGTATCATCAGAGTCCTGGACAGGCTCCATTCCCAGGAACCCAGCAGCCTTCATACCCTTTTCCTCAGCCCCCACAGCAGCCTTATTATCCACAGCAGTAAAATGTCAGCTCAGAAGCTCAGCTGGTTCAGTTCAAAGGGAAAGAAATGCCAGTCCTGCAATAAGTGTACTAAGCTCCACGCTCTGGTTAATATAATGTACTCTACTGTACTGAATGCAGTGCATAATTTCTGTCTGCGGCTAAAAACTAAAAGCTGTGCCCCAGTTCCACATTTGATTGCACATGTGAGATTTGCTGCTATTGCAGTATTATAAACACTAGATATAATAGGATTTGAAATAAATTATATCACAGTTCATGAAAGTAAAAAATGAGAAATTAAACCCACAAGTGAAACCTTNTATAAACACTAGATATAATAGGATTTGAAATAAATTATATTACAGTTCATGAAAGTAAAAAATGAGAAATTAAACCCACAAGTGAAACCTTTGAAACAATTATGCTTATATCTACATAAGATGTGATTGGGACATCAGACACTTATCGTGATGGTTTAAGTACTGATATTAAAAGAAAACCAAGTTTTCTCTTTTGGTTTACTGATTTGGTTTAATTTCCATTATGCTTTTTTGCATAATCAAAGCATTGTAATCTTATAATTTAAAAATAAATTACTTAAGAACAGTTATTGTTATGTTTTGTCATTGATTCTCATTACTGTCTAATTTCTTTCTGGTATTAGTCTCATTTTATATGTACGTGAGTTAAACAGGTACTGTGTTTAAGTGCATGATTAGTGCAGGTTAATAGGTTCAAGTACATTTTATAGAAAAACCAAAAGAATAGTATCATAGTTTATCTTTCATATGCTGATTAGTATATTAATTTTGAAATTTATTTTGAAAAGTCCTATAATGTGGAAGGAACACAATTGGTACCAAAGATTCTTCAAAGAAATATACAAATAAATATGTATATTTAATGTTTTATTAGTTTCTCCAAGAAATTGGTACAAATTCTGGTAATTATCATTTTTTTTATAACTGTTTAAAATACATTATTGACAGTACTGTCTAATATAATGGGATTGTTTAAAGGAAATTTACTGTACCGTTCTCCTTTTTTTCGCCTTACTGTCTTAACTTAGTAACGTTTAACGCACAGTGTATGTGAATAGATTGAAGCCCTTTCATTTTTATACTCCTAAAGATCGGACTATTTTATAATTCAGGGAGCACACAAAACAGTTGTCGGGAGCATCTGCCTTTTCTGGAATAGGCTGTGTATTTAATATTAATCTCTGCTGTTAGGATAACTAATCACTGTATAAACCTCAGTAAAGATAGTGAGATGTGCTTCATGGAATGAGAAAACGAGAAAGGAATGAATTGTTTGATATCACACTGGGATCTGTTCTGTGTGAGGTTCATTTCTGAACACGTCAGGCATATGAGCAGTTTTCCAATGACTTGCTTTATGTTTATTTTTTAAGTTTTAATGCCAACATTTTCTTGCATTATTGTTTCATTTAAATGATACTGTCACTTGGTCCACTGTTGTTTTTTTTGACAGTTTGGGTTTATATTTTAAATGTTGGACTGAAGGTGTGATTGTAAAAGCGAGTGAATTGGTTTTAAAATATGTGTATATTTAAAAAGAATCTTACTTTGTTGTACGTAGAAAACATGAAGGCTACAATATAACATGTTACTACAATATAAATGACCTTTACGTGGAATATTGCAATTGGTTTAAAGTCCGATATTTAAAACCTTGGCAAAAAATAGTTTTTTACATATCAAAGCTAAGTTTTATTAATGTGGAATCATCAAAGTATGACATGGGCTTGTTTGACTCTTGTGTAAATGACATTTAAGTTCTACATTCATATTATTCAAAGTATCCTATACTAACATAAGATACTCTGTGAGAGGGGTATTCCAAATTGCTAGTTTATAACTTACTAATGCAGAAAAAAACCAACAAAATTGGCCTGAATATTCTCTTGGGGAAAGATGGTGCTAAAGAAAAGAGCAAGTGCATCCAAAGGCCAAAAGAGAAGTTATAAGGCAATTAGCCCACATCCCGTGCTAAGCGAGGCCCGCTCCCAGAGCGCCCCGGGAAGCTCGCACAGAAGGCCTAGGGGCGGAGGCTCCACGGCCCCGGCGACGGCCTCTTCCGGCATGCCTGCCGCGCTCCACTCGGCAAAGCCTTTCTATGCAGCAACCCAGACCCGCTCCCCCTTGTCCGTTCACTCGTCCTGTAGAGTTCAGATAATCGGGGATGCTTCTGGCCACCGTGCCGAGGTGCAGGTGACCACGTTTCTGCAGGCCTCCGCTGCCGGGCCTGTGCTCGGCCTGTCGAGTTTCATTATGGCTCGTGGAAAGACGAGTTTCTTACGTCCATTTTGCATTGTAGCAAACAAGAATGAAGCCTTCACTGGGCTTATTTTTATCAAACTTTTAAATCCTTTGCTTAACTTCCAGTATTCCACAAAATAGCCCCAAGAGCTGTTCTGGATAATGCTGTTGTTTTAGAGGTAGGAGAGCGTCACTCTGGTTCGGGTAGGCTGAACCTGTGTTTATAATTGGGCTTTTTGATTCTCTCCGAACCTACAGAAAGGGAAGTGTTCCCGGTCCATTTGCTTTGGACTTTGTAATGCTGATATAAAATGGATTAGACTTTAACTGATGCAGTTCTGCGCGTAGAGTTGCTCAGAAGTGGGGTGAACGCTAACCCCTCTTCCTAGTTGCGGACAGATGGTCTGACTGTCCAGCCTGGAGTAAAGTGTTGGGCTGCTCTGCCCCTTGCCCTTTATTCTGTTAGGAAAGTTACTCATAGATCACTGCAAACCAGTCTTTGTGAGCTGTCCGCGTACCCGTATCCCCCACTTTGCAATTTATAATCTCCCCCTCCCCAAATCGGAATAGTTACAGAACAAAGAACGAGATTTCACAGCCCTCTGTCCCTGACCTTCTACCCAGTCAGCAGCTTTTCTAGTCCAACACAGATTTTGTAAAAAGTTTTCCATGAGAGCTTTACAGTTGGCAAAAGTGCTTTGTACAGTGCAACTTGTTAAGTAGGTTTTAGTCTGCTAATGGGATTTTTTAAAATCAGTGTATCTTGAAGAATCTTGCTATTAACCTAGTGGCATCTCTTTTTTTTTTTTTTAGCTGCAATTCTTAGTTGATTCACAGTACAGGATACAAAGTAGGGAAGAAAACAGTGCTATAGCGTTATAATTACTAGTTTAAAAGTAGACTTTAGAACTAAATGGTGATTATAAGATTTACATGGAAGAACAAAGAAGGAAAAATTCTATTTTTAAAGAAAAAGAGAATATTCAGGCTTTATTTCTGGTATGAAGTTTATATTTTTAAAAAAATCCTATATTACCACACCAGAGATTTTAGATTCTTTTCTGGTTACAAACATTGCTGGTAGTTGGATTATATTTTTATTGTATTCATTTCTCTTAGGGGGAAATTGTAAAGAAACAAAGAGGTTCCAGATGAATGTATCCTGGAAATAAAAGTTGAAAGATTCTTACTTCCTTGGAGTATGAATTCTTATTTAAAGTGCTTATCCTTCAGTTCTATAGTTTCTATAATTTCTTTAACAAATGTTGGGCTGGGAAATAAAAAAAATACCCGCTTTGACTAAATGCGTGAGACCATAAAGGGAAGTCAATGTTTAAATGTTTTCCTAATAGCTGCCAACCCTGTGACTTACCATGGATGGAGCATGTTTTTCATGATGACTTGCCCCCATTCTTTCAGATGGGTAATTTCTTCAAGTGTCATTTTCTGGGTTAAATTTTGGAAATGTTTGGCAAGATTACGTTACTCAGTTGATCAGTGGAGGGGTGGTGGTGAAATGTGTTTATCTTTTAAAACGTTTTTCTTCCCAGTTGCCCCATGCGCTAAGGTCAGATGCAGCTGTTTTATTATGTAGCTCAGAATACACGATATATCCGGAAATGTGTTGATTTTGTATGCCTTTCAGGTTTGTTCAAGGTGAACAAGCTAGCTCCAGGAATGAACGAGCCCGAATCCCTGTTATGTATATTTTAAATATATAAAAATTGGGCATAGTTAAAGCTTTTTTTTTGAATCTTCACCCAAATATATGTTTTTATTGCTTTTAGAGAGAAAGGAGGAGGAGAGAGAGAAAAGAGGGAGAGAGGGAGAGAGATACAGATGTGAGCGAGAAACATCGATCCTCAAGGAATTTATATTCCAGGAAAGAGTCCCATTGAGCTAGGAATGACGACTGGTTTGAAGGTGGGTATTATATTAAGATGGGAATTTGCGGGAGGGAGTTCTCCATGCCTCTCCCTGTGTTCAGCTCCGGCCGGGTTAGCTAGACCCTTAGCATGTTCCTGCCCCGGTGGTGGTTGCTGGGCAGGGGAGCAGGAGCTGGACTCCCGGTCAGGGTTTGAAGGAAGTGACCTCTCCGAGGGAATAGCTTTTTGGTATAGAGGGAAGGTGTCACACTCCCGACCTGGGGCTTCCATAGCTGAAGGGACCGTGAGGCTGGGCAGCGTGAAATGGTGACTCTGGACCTGGCACAGCCTTGGGTATTTGTGGGGGGACCAGTCACGAGTGAGTTCTCTCTCTCCCCGTGGGATGGGCTTTAGAGTCAGAAACAAATGACTCCAGTAGAGAAACGAATGGGTGTTGCTTGTGTGCGTGGGTTGGTCAGCTTCAGTTCGCAGCCACCGCGCGTGGGCCATGCCTGGCACAGCGAAGGTGGTTCATGCCATGCACATCGCGCGCGGCCGGATGGCAGCGCCGCGTTGGTGCTCTCCCTGGCACGGGCCTGCATTGCTGCTGCGGCATCTGCCTTGCGGATGAAAGCCCTTGCGGGCGCTCAGGCGCTGTGCGGGAGGGTGACTGAGACGGTAGGAGCCGCTCTCCAGGGGGGGCCTGTCGGAGGCGGTCAGCGGGGGCAGGGGGACAACACGCAGGACACCAGACTGACCACGCACAGGCTCCGTCCTGGTAATCGGAGCCCCCCAAGCCCCTGCCCTTGCAATGCAGCTCCGTCCACCCTTCTCGCTCAACACCCGTGTCAAGGTCGGAACCTTGAGGGAGCAGGTGCTGGCGAGACTGGCTGGACAGGATACGTGCTGGACCACGGCAAGGCCTCTGCGTAAACTACGATGCTGGCGGGCCGTGTGGCCTCAGCCGCAGCGACAGCCTGGTCAGTTCCCTGGCTTGTGGAACTGCCCCCTACCCATCTGCAGTGGCCTCTGGTCGGTTAGAACGAGCCTGGCCTGGGCCCTGGCTGTGAGGTTCTGAGCAGGACGTGCCTGCTGTCCCCGTGGGAATCCCCCTGGCGAGCAGGTGACAGTCCTTGGGGATGGGAGATGCCTGAG